TTCGAATAAATTTTTCTCGAGTCGTACTAGAAGAAAACTTCCTATATGTTTCTAGGGGCATATTTTTCATCTACATCTTTCCCAATGAGCCGTCTATCAAATTGCTAATCAAAACTTCGATGATAAAAGAAGTATGCAAGTCGACAAAAAAATTAAGAGACTGATAACTAAATATATACAAATAAGTGCAAATTCTGACATCACCACAACTCACTCTGATTATCGTTATTCAAGCGGTATCATAAAGAATCTTTCCTTTTGTCCTTTTAGCAATGCTTTGGAGAGGGACTCGGTAGCTAGGAAAGTCAAGTCAAGGAGGAAGACGTTGTACTATTAGGCAAGTAGTGGCAGTCGCGGCTGCTAAGCTCAAACTCCAAAGGAAGCAAATCAAAGAGAAGGGGAGGAAGAATGCAAGCAATGGATATAAACGCATCCTAGTGTAGCGCGAAAGGACTGTACGCACATAAGAGGACTCTGTCCTCTACCAAAATCGTTGAGTGACTCCCTCTCTCACTTGCTTTAGAAGACGAGAGGTCACCACATCTTAGTGTAGCCATAAGAAATTCCCTTAACGTGTTGACCCTTCTCTTGCTCATGTTGTTCATTTTTCCTTTGGTCAAAGTCTATCTTGTCTAGACCAAGAGTCATTTTTCTTGGCTAACAATAATGAACGTTTTGCACATATACGCAATAATTTAGATAAAAACATCTATAGTTGAAATGATCGTGTCAATTCTAGTTTCAGTAATGTTGATCATTTATTTCGCATCAAGGACATTTGTAATTTGATCTCTAATGACACTTTCTTAGTTAGGTATGATAATGAGAACAACTATTCCACATATTTTGATATTAAAAATAAGTTTTTTGAAATTACGGGGAACTTGCTTCATGTTGGGGTATTGGTGCCGATTAGATGTCGTCCTTGGAGTCCATCACTATATTGAGCAGATCACGGTCATTCACATCTTAGTCATGTGAATTGCCTTTAGCTACATATCGCATTCAACGTCTGAAGTCGAGGCCTCCGTGAAGGCTGCTTGAGATGTCGCCTAGGTTATGAAGCACTATTTTGGTTTTTTGGAGCCCGATATACGCAAAATTTCCCCCGTTTTGAATTAGAGAGATTGTATACTTCACACTGACTATACTGCCTTGTGCTTTACTGAATCAAATGATTATTTTTGTTGAAGGCTTCCAGAATAAGGAAGGCTTTGGTGTGATCGTTGACTTAGACGAGCAAGGTACAATGGAAGTTGTTTTTCGACTAAGGCAAGCGAGGTAGGGTTAGACTAGATAGAGGGGGACTACGAGCGTCCATCCCATAACCTAAAAGGGAACCATGCATTCCTCCCTGATTGGACTCTCGCGTGTCCAGAGTCCTATTAGATCAACCAACGATTGGTTTACAAAACAAGGAGTTAAGCAAGGGCCAGGTTATTTCATCAATCTCCTTGCCAAAGTCAGTGTTATGTTCAACTCCGAGGGAGGGGGACTATGAACGTCCATCCCATAACCTGCAAGGGAACCATGCATTCCTCCCCGGCTAGACACTTGCGTGTTCGGGGTCTGATCAGATCAACCAGCGATCAATTTACGGAACAAGGAGTTAAGTAAGGGCCAACTTATTTCATCAATCTCCTAGCCGAAGTCAGTGTTGTGTTCAACTCCACAGTTGCAAGGATTTTTTGCTAATATGAGATTGCTCCTACCTCTAGACAGCTTTGATATTCCCATCGATTGATTTTAGAGGTTTTTCAACCACTAAACTTACTTAAGTTTCCCTTTGATCGAGTGCTATTTATATAATCAATATTGAGTAGGAAAATCTTGAATTGGCTTAATCAAAGAAAGCAATTCCATTTTTCCATGTAGTTTGTCGGTCAAACCAATGATTCTTTTCTAAAAGTAATTGAGAGATCTTTTTTCTAGTTAGACTTCTATCAATGCAATATAACTCACAATAAATCTCGCATATTTAGCTAAAGTAAACGCTACTTGATTTCCATTTCTCCGAACCATAGCTAATTCATGATAACTAAAACTTTGAAGATCATTCTTGATACTGTCCAAATTCATAACCAAAGGTATCGTTTGTGTCTGTGTCTCCATTGCTTTAACTGCCTTCAAAGCTTGATTGAATCCCCTTCCAGAATAACATATTGCACTCCTTGATGAAGAGCAAAAAGCATAGCTTCCTTCATAGCAGTGATTTCTGCGTCCAGCCCTCTGGAAACAATTTTCTTGGCCATACCAGCCACAAAAATACCATTGCTATCTCTGATAACAACTCCAACACCAAAATTCTGGCCTTCCGCAAACACAACACTACAGAAATTAACCTCAACAAGACCAGCCCTAGGAGGAATCCAAAACGCAGAAACAGATACCTGTGGTAGAGCTCACTGTGCATCGTTTATCTGCTGATGACTAGCTAAATACTTTCTAGCTTCTCTGACAATATTAGCTGGATTTTTTGAGAATCCAGAATGGACCATCTCATTTTGATGCTTCCAAATCAATCCGCAATGAATAAAGAAATATTACGAACTCATCTGTGTCCAGAAAATAATGTATATCAAACCAAAAACCTTCTTCTTGCCATCTGTCTTCTTTTATAGTTTACTTGATGAAAACCACGATAGCAAGCTAAGGGACAGATTGTAATTTCACCTTGAACTTGCATGGGAGATGATGTAATGAGGTGTAGGAGTAACAGTCCTTCGTTGATTAATTAGGTGCTGAAATATTTGTGATTTTCAAATGTCTTGAATTGTTTTAGCATTGTGGGCTTCTCCACTCAGGTCTTGTTCCATTCCTTGATGATTGTTTTATATAACATTGAAGAGCCTGTATCTCTAGGTAGTTATGGTGCCATAAGGTAGAGTATATGCTCAGTCATACATACAACCAAGATTTGGTGTCTGATGTTTCAGATGATAGCTTCTTGACTTGAAGGCCTTTCTATGATTGTGTTTGGTTAGTCGTTTTCATCACCCGGTTAGCTCTAAGGAGGCAATTGAGAGTTCCGCCTGAGTTAAAAACAGTTTCAGATGTAGTGGAGGTGTACGAGTCTACTATTGTTTTGGTTGCTTTTGCTCACTAAGGCTGTGAGGGTGTCGCTGGTAATGCGTGGTTGATAATTGTATTGTCCTTTTGTGTCGGTCTTATCAAAATTATATAACCCTTGGGATTTGGGTGGTGGTGCTTGTATTCATGGGCTGGGCATCCACTTTTTGAGAATTTAGCATTGTTGATGTCCTAGCCATTTGATTTGAATGCAAGAAATTATGCACAATCGCAATACTCAGAATCTTTCATATCTAAAATAATCATTGGTGACTATTTGTTTCCCAAACTGTGAAATTTAAACTTTGTTCTTCTACCTGACTGGTGAGCAGTTTTATATACAATTATCTTGTAATACATATTGAAGAACATAAAAGTTCATTTTGGTTTGTGGACCAACATAAATCTAACCATACTAGTGTTATAATAGTCACATAAATCTAACCATACTAGGTCATTTTTGGTTAGTCACAATAACCTGGAAGTGACAATAATAGTGTTATACTATTGTCGACAATTAGGTCCTATTGGCGGGCACCAAAGTGTATTTGGAACTAATCCACTTCCCATGGTAATCTATTCCTTGGATCAGGATCTCTTTCTCTCATCTTCTTCCAGCAAATCCTATGTTTTCTTCTGTCTTTTTCTCTTCATAGTATCTAAGACGTATTAAATTAGTCTATATTTGTAAACCATATCTCTTAAGATTCCTAAAGTGCCTCAGAAAACGTGTTTGGAGCAATTTAGGCAACCTATGGAGTAAAATTGTCACAAGGAAGGTAGCGTGTATACAAGATTTCGTGACATTGCAGGGATCCTTAGCATAAAAGGTTTAACAGGTTCAGCTTTTGTAGGGTATATGGCCTAAAACCTTGGTTAGGTTAGGTCCTTGAGCAGATGGATTTTGCCATTGAACAGAGCAGCACGGAGCCTAGGTTGCATTTAGATTTGAAGTATAGGTTTGACCCTGGCCTTTCTATTTGTAACGTGTGTCAGTCGAAGAGAATATCTCGAAGGACTGACAAGATACTGTAAGAGGAAGTCTTGGCTTGATCTCAACAAGGTTTCAGGAGGTGATAGCTCATGGCACCTAGGTTAATTGAGCGAGGAAGGTGAATTGGAGAATTGCTCAGGCAGCAAGGGAGATAAAAGAATTGGACGACAAGAAGGTAGAGGAGAGCTCTTAGGAAAGGATGGATAGAGGTAATAATATCAAGAGTTGAAGAGTGACAGTTTCTTTCCCTTTTTTTTTCTTTTTTTTTTTTTTTTCTACCCTAGTCCTAATAGGATTTTTTTTTTTGGGAGAGGGAGAGGGAGAGGAGGAGGGGGGATTTGAACCCTTGACCTCAATAAGGTAAAGTTTTCACAAGGTAAGAAATACCATTAGACTAAAGACTCATTGGTTAGTCCTAATGGAATTAGTAGAACTACAGTTGCCTATAAATTTCTAGCTAATCTTATTAATTGGAATGTTGTGTGACAAAAAAATTAACGATGAGGTTGTGCAATTTGCCTAATCGATCTGAGGGTTAGTCGTGATCTTTTTCCTTCACTCTTTGAACTTTGTTGTTGCACTCTGAGATAACCAGAAAAAATGTCATTTTTCAAGGCTTTTTTAAAACCATAAACAGTGAAACAACATTATTTGCTATAGTTTTTTTTTTCCTTTTTGGTTTGATCAGAGATGAACCTTCAATCACCATCTGATTCTCCTCCAATTCACTTTTGCTTTTCCTACCTTCTTATTCATGTTCTTCAAACAATCAAATTCCTAACTTCTTTTTTGTTGATCTCTGTCGCAAAGACCAAAGTACTGTCTCTCTTTCAGTCTCTACAGACAATACATTGGCCACAAAAATAGTATTAATATTATTTTTAACTATAGATATTTATTCATCTTTAGTTATATATATTGATTGATATGTTTATTTTAAATTAAGCGAATCTTATCTTATGATAAACGATGCATTATTTTAGAAACATTAAACGCATTGCAAAACAAGTTTGACAACCTTGACTTAAATAATTTACCCCGCCCACCCCCCCCAAAAAAAAAAAAAATACCTCGACTTAAATCAACCGTATGTTATTTGATTTTAGGTTTGCCTTGTGGTTCTGGATTTATTCTAGCCAAAGTAACCTATGGTAGCAAAACATGGGATTTTCCCAACTTATATGAAAATAGTGCTCATCGTGTAATGATATTTTATTTGCAGGCCGCTTGTTGGTTGCTTTGGACCTCCTAGTTTGTCAGGAAAGCAGCCCACGTTTTTTGGCCATCTATTTGTTGATAAATTTAAACTTCAAATGCAAAGGGAGATGGTATAATATCTACCTCTCTCTCTCTCTCTCTCTCACACACACCACACACACACACACACACAGGTGCCCAGTCACCCACACACGCACTCCAGGTACCCATACAGGTACAGGTCTCCCGGGGCTTAAACGCTTGCGTAGAAATTATAAATTACACTGTAGAATTATATGAACTCATTAATTGTCAGAAAATTTCAAGGAAATGGAACATATTTCTAAAAAGCAGAAGTTTATTTAAAATATTAAGAGCTAATTGAAACAAAAAATGATGTTTATTTGTTTAGAAAAACATAAGTGGTTTCAATAAAATAGGAGCTAGTTTCACAGCAAAAAAATAAAGCCCAATTTAGTCCTCATTAGGTCTTTGAGGGATGGATTTGATACAGATATGATCTTTAGCATTATTTGCAGAAAGTGATTGTACTTTAGTTCGAACCCACAACAACTTCAAGATTATTTAACTGAATTTCAATAACCAAACTAGCGGCTCCCTATTTGTTTCACAAAAACAGAAGGAAAGAGAAAATTGGAGAAAGAGAGATCCGAGTCATGCAGAAAGCGAGCGAGGATGATGAAAATAAAGGAAAAAACAGAGATCAACAGTCTTAGTAGTCGTCGTCTGACCAATTGGCTCGGACGCTAGACCATCATTGCTTTGCCATTTGTCTCGCCAAAAGATACTTATTGTTCGAGTTAGATTAGAGTGGATCTCTGAAATTCACATGTGGTGTTTAAAGATAGAATTAAACAGTTAAATTTGGAATTCTAAGGTGGTGTTACGTATGTCAAATGTTTTGGATAAATTTAGTAGACAATAAGCCCAAAGCATACCACTAAACTGAGGGGGAAAAAGCCCATGCCTCATGGACAAGATTAAAATTTTGTTTGGTGCATTATTTCGGTTATCTAAGAAATGAAAATATTTCGATGTGTTTCGGAAACGTTTCAACCCGTTTCGGAAACATAATGAAAAAAATAAAAAATAAATAAAGAATTGTGCAAATATATTGAAAAAAAATTTCTTGTGCAAAATATTTTGAAATATTTCGGAATAATTGTACAAATATATTGAAATATAAAAATATTTCAAAACATTATGGAACACCTTGAAGTATCAGAATTTCGATTTCATCACTGATTCGTTTTAATCTCCTGGAAACGGAAACGTTTCGCCCGTTTCGAGATGATATTTTGATCATTACTCAAGCGCCTTAGGCTTAATACCGTTGCGCACACTTTGTGTGCCTTGATTGCTCCTTAGCCAAGTCGCTTCGCCTTACGCCCATTGAAGTGCTTCAAGTGTGCCTTGGCTCGCCATGGGCCTAGGTGCGTGCCTAAGTGCGCTTTTCACTATGGTGGAATGTATAAAAACACTTATCCAACCTTTGCTTATTCTGGCATCTTGAGTCTTTTACTAGCTCGTGAATGTGATTGGAGTTCCTTATTGTTCAGAAAGAAGCTGTATCTACTTCACATTGTTCTCAGCCTAACACAATTGAATACGAAATGGCTATGGAATGGTGCTTACTACAATCCAGATCTGACAGTTGGTGGAAGAGCCTTCACAAGGTTTGGAATGGGTTAACATGCTCATATGTCTATTTGTATCGGAGTTTTCTCTTTAGATCTACTTCCTTGGACTTCATTCATCATATTGAGCAGTTTATTTTATTTTTTTTAGCAACAAGGACAGGATTTGAGGAAACTTATGGCTAATCTCAAGTCGAAATAGGCAGACTATTCTTCTCTGGTAAGTTCTTTCATAGATCAAAATCTTCTATTCCCAGCATATTGTGACATGGATAAAAATCATTAATGTATTGCCTGTAATTTCTCTGTCCAGCATCTCTAATTCAATTTTGTCGGGAGATAGCTTTCCTGAGACATGACACCCTAAATGATGGAGGTTTAGTTTTCATGGAGTTCATGATAAACTAATTGAGAGACTTGCCCTCTGATACATATACGGCGGTACACCTCTTTCTATTTTTATAATTTCATTTGATTGGTCTACGAAATAGATTATTCTGTCAAACAGGCTGCAGGGTATATAGGATTCGTTGTATGGATATTTTGTTTCATCACTTACTGCTTAGTTTAATGTTGAAACATCGCCAATAAGCTCCCATGATTTTTTCAATAATGGAGGTAGACACACTACTTATTAGTGGAAAGTAAGACTGTTACGAGAAATTCACATCATGGTACAAAGCATTAGTTGTTGCTAATATTCTATTGCTGTCGGCTGTCAAAACTTGTTTTCAAGTGAAACAAAGTTGGTAAGAGCTTGATGATAATAATCAATTAAATGGATATTTCTTTGGTGTGTCTATATGTGGCTAGTTTTCGCGCGAAGGCTATCATTTCTAGCAGTGCTTCATATTTGGTGATTTGCTCTGCAGATGGAAGATATATACTTTGCCATACCTTCCCTCCCAATTTTGGTTGAAAGCAAATTTTGGGTTGTGCATAAAGTAAAATTTTTTCCAACTATCATTCACCAGGTATTGGCGAGGGGGTAAATTCTTGTGTTCTATGGCAACTGTTGGTCTAGCTTGTTCTCAGTTAGTTATATCATGCATGTTTTCATTTTGGATGGGGTGTAAATTTGTGACATAGCTGGTGATGCTCTATGTTCTTCTTGTGTAATATATAGTAGCCGTCTCTCTCTCTCTCTCTCTCTCTAAATCAGATCTAAATTTGTTTTTAGTGTGTCGAACATCAAAGGAAATAGCTTTTAAGTTTGCTCTGATTTTGCTTATGATTCTAAAATTCAAAGGTACATGGTTAATGTGTTTAGCATTTGGAAATAGTGTGGCAATTACCTCCATTCATTTTATGATCTTTGTATATACAGATGGGAATGGTAATGACAGTGTAGGTAAGAGATGATGGATTTGAAGTGAAATATGAATTTTTGCCCCTATTTACTATTTTGTCTTGAATTTTGTTCTAAATTCAAATTTTCTTTTTTAAAAACAAACCCATTTATTATCTCTCTGTTTGCAGATTTTTTAATGATCGTGGAATTGGACAATAAAAGTTTAATTTCAATGAAGTAGATAATTAAATTCCTATTTTTGCTTAAAAAAGGAAAAATGTTTTAAAAAAAGAGTTCTTTTAAAAAAATGTTACCAAATGGTGTCGTATATTTTAAACTTGGCCTAGTCAGTCTTCTTAGAGAATGCCATTCAATTTTTTTCTTTGAAATGAAGAATCTTGTATAAGTGTTTTTTAAATCGCAACTGTTATACATTTCCTTAAATGCAAATACTGTACTGTATGGATAAATCCGTGCTCAGGATATATAGATTCACGTATATTGAAAAATTCATCGATCCTACAAGTTCTATCTTTTGTTTGCTTAAAAAAGAAACGTAGATTTTACCTCAACCATTTACGAGTTCTTAGTTATAAACAAACCAGATAAATTAGATTGAATACTTGAATTGGTTTTACATTTTCTTGAATTCAAGTGTTGATTACGAATTGGACAAAAAAGTATCTGCGAGCCATTAATTTTTCGAGAGAATGAAAATAAAATCACATTATTTAAGAATAAAGAGGAAGTGGACAATTCCATATTAAATTTAATGGAAAAATATAAAATTAATAACCACAATTAGAGGTGAAAAATAACAATTCATGGATAATGGGAGACGAGAATAATAGTTGAAAGATGAAATTTAATTCAACATAATTTTTTGACAATTTTTCAGTTTAATTCAACAGCAGTGATATCCTATTATTATCGGCGTATAATATTATTATCAAATAATAAAAATATTATAGGAATTAAGTGAATCTAATATATGAATCATGTATGTGGATCTCACTATATCAATATCTACCCATATTCATTAAATTTAGTTATTTTCACGTTTGAAATTCCTTTTTTTTATATAATATTTTATTATTAAAAAATGATAATTTCAATATTAACAACGGTAAATTACACTCATACATTTTATTATTTTTAATATTTTCACTGCACCCCCTATTGTTTATATAATTACACGGACCTACTCTAAGATGTGACATATTGTAACAAAAACCGCTTCAAGCAGTAGACCGAAAGTTTGTCATGAAGTAAACAAAAGTTTTGACTTAAAATTCCTATTTTAGCCTCAATTTAAAAATATATATATTGGAAAACAATTACATAGCATCAAACATTTTTATTTACAAAAACTTGAAATACTTTCAGTGACATACAACTTCCATTGAATCACACTGAAAGAAAATCGAATGAAGACCGTACAAATAATTTCATTAAATTTTTAAAAACAAAGTAAAATATCACAAACTAACTTAGATCAAAGCAATCAATCAACATATAACATTAAATTTCAAAAATCATAGAACCATTGGCCATTTCTTTAGTGTTCGAAATTAAACCTTAGAAAACATTGTTTGGATTTCTACATAAATGTCGTAAAGAACCCCAAAAATCTATACAAACATCATACCTACTGTTAACCCTTCATTAAACAACATATATTTTACCTCATTTTTTGTTTTTCAAACACAATCGAACAAAGAAGATAGAGTTTGAGTTCAAATCTTGCTTTTCAGCACTTATGCTTCGTTTGGTACCATAAAAAAAAAATGGAAGGATGAAAAGTTGGAATGATGGAGGAATAAATAAAACATCATGTTTGGTAATAAAAAAAAATAGGAAGGATGAAAAAGTGGATGAATTAACTTTCTTTCTAACTCACCTAAATCAATCCTTTCAAAATTGGAAAAAAAGTTGATAAAAATTTAATTATTTGTGTTGAGATGAATCTTATTTGTCTATATATCTTTATGTATACATTAATTTTATATAAAAATACAATGAAAAAATATGTACATATATTTTAAAAAAAGTCAAAAATAAATTTTTTAAAAAATAAAAAATTAAATTAAAATTTTTTTTTTCTATCTATCTTAACTAAGGGTGAAAATTTTCGACTCAACACGATAACACGACTCGAACTCGATATGAAAATAAACTGGCCAACTCGTAACTCGACATAGTACAATTAGTTAAATGAGTTAAGTTAAGTTTGATTAATATTCGACACAAATTCGTAATGACTCAACACGAATCTGACACGATACAACTCGACTCGATTGTCACCCCTAATCTTAGTCAGCACAAAAAATAAAAAATAGTCATTTTTATTTTTCATCCATCCAACTAAACACAAAAGAAGGAAAATGTATCGTTCTTATATTTCATTCTTAAAGGATAAAAAATATATTTCTCTTACTTTCCATTCTTACTACCAAACGGATTAATGATTCAAAACTTTAAACACAAAGCTCTTGATTCTATATCCCTTCCGGTTCCTCATGATTTGTGTCTGTTGAAATCTGTGATGAGAAACTGAGTAGAATAGATTAATATAAACCAGGTCTTTAGATTAAAAAGAAAAAAAATAAAATAAAATAAGGGAGTGCAAAATTATAACCCTATGATAGCAGTCAAGGTCATTTAAGTGATTACACTGAAAAGGGAGGTCAGTCTAATTGTGTAAATAGTAGGGGGTGAAATGAAAATGTAAGAAACATAAAGGGGTGTCAATGAAATTTATCCTACCAATAATGATGTACAACATTTACTCCCAACACTCACACCGTCATCATTCATGTACTTCGTGTGTTGGGATCACACCAAAAACGACGTCGTCTACACCTCGAAAAATGTGACCGTTAAACTTCTCATTTTGAACATCGCATGTGTATGATATAACACTACTTCCGCGCGTACCCAACCCCTCTGTGTCCTCTCTGTTCTGTTCCCCGTACTCACCTCTCTGCACAATCTTGTCGGTTTCTCTTTTTCTGACTATATCCTATCATGGTGTTCTTCACTTCATCTTCTTCTCTCTGAAACCCTCCTCCCTCCCTCTCTCTCTCTATTCCTTTTTTTCTCCATATGTATAAGATGTATACATGTGAGATATAGAGAAATAGGTCTATATATATGTGTGCATTTTACAGGTTTGAAGTTCGAACCCAGAAAAGCCCACATTGATCGAAGCCCTAGAAAATCGAAAAAATTCGTATCATGGGATGTGCTCAATCGAAGATTGATAACGAAGAGTCAGTTTCAAGATGCAAAGACAGGAGGAACTTGATGAAAGAAGCTGTTTCTGCTAGGAATGCTTTCGCTTCTGGGCATTCCGGCTACGCCATGGCCCTCAAGAACACCGGCGCCGCCTTGAGTGACTACGCCCATGGCGAGGTCGAAGAAAGGCACCACCTGGTGGGACCCAGTGGCATTGGTGGTGACCCTTCTTCGGATCAGCCACCGAAACCGCCACCGCCACCCCCCTTGATGGAATCACAACTCCCACCACCGCCTCCGCCTTTGCCGAACTTCTCTCCGGTCACGCCGCTTCAGCGTTCCTTGACCATGCCGGAGTTCTCTGTCTCCAAAGTAAATCGGAAAATGAACAGTGTTGCCATTGCTGAGGATGACGAGGAAGTTGAAGAAGTTCCTGGTGATTTGCAAAGGCGAAAAGGGCGTAGTGTGTCTCGGGAGATTGAGGCGGAGACGCCGCATTCACCGCTGCAAACTCCGGTCCCACCGCCGCCGCCGGAGTCGAAAGGGATGGCGTGGGATTATTTCTTTATGGTGGAGAACATGCATGGACCATCATTGAGCGAGGCTGAAGATATTATTGAGGAAGAAGTTGAGAATGTGGTTGAAAATGATGGTGGCGTTGAGCCGAAGACGCCGGAGAAGGTGGTGATGCAGGGGTTTATCACGGAGGAGGAGGAGGAGACGCCGGCGGTGGAGAAGCAAGAGAAACAGTTTATTCATTCGAATACAGCGCCCCCGGGACTAAAGGGTGGGAATAACGCTATTAAGTTTGGGTCTAGTGTGGATTTGTTGAAGGTTTTGGGTGATGTTGATGATCATTTCTTGAAGGCATCAGAGAGTGCCCAAGAGGTCTCGAAGATGCTTGAGGCAACGACATTGCACTATCACTCGAATTTCGCCGATAATCGAGGTGATTGGTTCTTCTTTTTGGGGATCTGTTGAATTAGTTTAGATTAAAATGTGTTGTTTTGAGTTTCTGCTGATCTTCCAAGTACATTGTTTGAATGTCTTTAAAAATCTTTTCCTATTCCATGGGGAAATTTCTGAAGTTGCAGGAAAATTTTTGCGGATTCAATTTGGGCAACCTGTCACATACCCAACTTTATGCAGCTAGTTGCCTAACTAGAAAACATGACTGTTGTTCTGTCAAATGTGAAGAATACCATTTGTATTCCTCGAATTCCTTACAGGCGACTTAGGTTCCTGTCAGAATGATGGATTGTGCAATTCAATGGATTCAGCAAAATGATTGATAGGATGTGATAATATGAAGCAGCCTAGATATTCTATTGCCGCACAAATTTGCTTTCTTCCAAAACAATCAAATATGTGTACTTAAATGCACATCTACTGACTTTTCGGAATTCTTAAATTATTCTTCTTGAACAATTGTGATGCCCTTCTTACTATTGTTGCCTTTTTTTTGGTATTTCTTTGACTAGAGACAGAGACAAATGAAATGGGCTTACAAGTTCATACGAGTGTGTGAGAACCATGCTTAATTATCACAACAGTATCTGTGATCAATTTGTTGGTGTTGACTTGGACCTAAACAAATTGTAGCTTTAAAAGTTCTGCAATTTTATTACCTTTCCCTGAAATAAGAAACCATGCAAAATAAAAGACCATCCTAATTTCTCTAGCAAAGCTTATGGTCTATTATGTGAACTAGCGATTAGGATCTGTTGTTCATTTGTTTCTAATCAAAGTTCCATACTTCTTGCTAATCATGCCAAAGGATATACATGTCTCTCGAGAAGGTAGTACACCCATCCGCGCAAGGCATGGCCTTCTCAAATTAGCGTTTGGAATCTTGTATTTCCCACCTTCCTTGTTGATATTTAAAATTGGATAACTTTTAAGTGGAAGAGTTTGTTCTTCTATTTATCTGTTTCTAACAATTGTTGAGCTTGTGAAATGATTTTGGAGGTTTGGCGGCCTTTTGAAGATGGGTAGGTCTGTAGTATGGTATTTTTCTAAACTAGTGGAACAATTCCTCTCCCCCTGTATATACATCTGCATAACAGTTTATCCAATAGCGAGGCATAGTGTCATATTCAGCAATATTCCTTCTTCTTCCTCCACGTAATTCCCTGAGCAACACATTATGGGCCAGCACTTCTTTTGTGAAAATAAGAAGCAATTTGGGAACTGTTGGGCACGATGCGCACAGACACATATACTTATTCTGTTTCATCACGTGCCTTGGTTATTTTTGAGAATGCAAAAGTGAAGTGCTTGAGAACTGCCAGCAGTGCATGTTCGGAGTTCCGTTAGGATCACTGTTCTGTCTGTTATTCTTTTGCACAGCGGTCCCAATTCCAAATAAAGGGGAAAAATTGTGTTGGGTAGCTAACAGGTAGCGGAAAACTTGATTGACTCAATATGAACATGAATTTTAACATGGCGTTATATGCTCATTTCATCCATTGGTGGGATAGTGTTAACAAAGAATAGGTTTTATAGATGAGTTTTTCCTCCACTGGTCATAATGGGAACTTGCCACTGCTTTGATAGACACAATCCATTTCATCTCAAAACAAATTACAATGCTTTACTTCTTGCAGGACACATTGACCATGCAGCAAGGGTAATGCGAGTTATTACGTGGAATAAATCATTTAGAGGTATACCCAATGGCGATGGTGGGAAGGATGATTTTGATGCAGAAGAGTATGAGACACATGCCACTGTTTTGGATAAGTTACTAGCATGGGAGAAAAAGTTATACGAGGAAGTGAAGGTGCATTGCGTCATTTGATTTGGTTTCAGTATTCTCTTTTTATTTATTTTTGGGGTGTGATTGTGGTTAATACTAAGATAGGGCCCTCCATAGTTTTGAATCTTATATTTTCTCATGTGTTAGTGCACGATAAGCATCCTTATTGCTGTGACCTAGCCGCTTCCCTTCATTACATATATGTCTGCTATGCCCTAAGTTGATGTATGCAAACCTGAATTTTAATTCATCTTGGTTATATCTTTTTTGGAATTCTATTCTTATTTGCTTCGTGCTGATAGGCTGCTGAGCTTATGAAGCTTGAGTATCAGAGGAAGGTTGCCCTTTTGAGCAAGCTGAAAAAACGCAGTGCTAGTTCTGAGTCGTTAGAGAAGACGAAAGCTGCGGTTAGTCATTTGCATACAAGATACATAGTTGACATGCAGTCTTTGGATTCAACGGTCTCGGAAGTAAATCACATACGTGATGATCAATTGTATCCAAAACTTGTTGCTCTGGTTCATGGGTAAGTTTTACTGCTAGAAAAATATCCTTTCATCTTAATTGTTTGTGGCCATTCTCTGTCCAAAAGTTTCTTATATGGTTTATGCCTTCAGTTATCTCTTGCATTAAGCATCAAGAACTTCATGGCATTAGTTCTATGTAGTGTCAAACATTCCAGCAAGACTCCATTAACTTGTTGGGTTACTATTGCTGTGTTGAGTTATGTCATGGTTTTCTGCTTGCCTCAACCTGAAAACATATGAAGTGAATATAATGGGCAGCTGCCTAAGTAGTTTACTATATACTGCTTGTTTGGTAAAGTCTCTCAAAGGTCATGAAGAGACCTTAGTCAAACTTCCCTGATAAAATAGTACTTCTGTCTGTTGGATGAACTTGTGTATTAGCAAACTTTCAGCAGTACTTAATGTCAACATTTTGGTTTTAACACACACATCCCCCCTCCAGAAACTTTATACAGTATGTGTAATTTACCAGGAATAAACTTCTTTTGTTTCCATTGCTTATTCAAGTCTCCCTTGTGGATTTGTTCCTAAACCACAGGGTCATTATTGTTTTGTGTTTAGTATGTATTTTGTTTCCTACTTCTATTCAACCTAATTCACCACCAGCTGATAACTTAAGTGGTATCTGCTCCTACCTATTTGCTAGTTTAGAGTTTGGTGATTTTTCCTCTGGTAATGATCATTTGCTGTGAGATTTCCTCCAATACCTTTTCTTTTAATTTCATTTAGAAGCTTATATGCTCTTGTGTGAAAGTGAAGAAAAAAGTATTCAAGGAATCGAGAGGATTTGGATTTGGATCAATCTACCTATTTGTTCCTTGGTTCCACTGAAGAGGAGTGAGAACATTTTCTTTGTGTCCAATTCTCATTATCAGATAGAGAACTTAGTTCCCCAAGTAAGATGGTCAATGTAGTGTATTCACTTGACTCATTCAAAGTATGATCTTATCATACTTTTAGTAAATGGAGTTTATCCTATTATATTATGGAAAATTGGTTGAAGTTGTTCTAGCTTGTACACGTTTTAACTGCAAGGTGGGCCTAATTCATATGGGGTGATTTAACACCATTGTTTGGATAAAAGAATTAGTTGTTTAGTTTGGAATTGAACCTTTGCAGGGGAGTTCAATTTTTGGTGTGTATCACGGTTGATGTATAGGCCATTTACTAGCCCCTTGATGTTTGGCACGACCATGCCATACATACTGAGGCCAAGGTGGGGGTGTGCTTGGCTAAGCAACCCCAATGTACATGACGAGTCCTAAAGACTTGGTTGAGTTGTTGGTTCTGGTGTTTAAGTGGTTGGAGACACTTCAGTCGGTGGTTGGCAAGGTGAACAGTGCACCAATGGACTAATCTGCAAGCTGATCGTGTAGAAATGCAAAGTGATGTGCAATAGTCGTAGTTTTGTAAATATTTATTATGATTTCTCAGCTTTCCAGATGTCCATTTGACACACTTGCCTTGACAGACAAAAACAAGGTACAACACCAAGAAACCTGCCCTGGATGAGGCAAGGCATGTAAGTCCAAGATCCAACAAAATGTGGGACCGAGCATTGGTGGTAATTGTCAATGGTGGAAGCCCCACGCATGATTGAGGGAGGCAATACATTGTGGGCATGATTGGGCACAGTAAAGCAAAGTTGTCTGTGTGGACTTAAGTAAGGTATCTTACGTGCTTTGAAAACTAATCTATGGGCTGGACATGGCTAGGCACGTTGTCAAAGACAAAGCAGATGCTGCACGCTGATGAGGATGACATTGGATGACTATGCACGTAGTTAATGACAGTTGGTAGCTAACTCATGAGGCAGTTATTGAACACAACTACTCCAGCAATGTTAGGGCATTTTCTATTAGTTTAAATGGCCTAGTGGTTTGTTGTAAAACCACCCAATCCATTGTAGCAAGGTTATGTATTGTGCCAACACTTCCTAGCAGTTGGGGATGTAAATTGCATAGCGTTAGTTGGCCAAGGCTAGTTGGTGATAGCATAGCCTAGGTCGTTGGATTGTAACTGCCACTGTAGCTTATAAAGATTGCTTGGGTATCAAGTCACCCAAGAGGGAAAGGGTAGATGTTTTGTAACAAACCCTTAATCGGATTCCTTTTATATTTGCCAAGAAAGTTAAAATTTTGGGACATTGTCATGTGAACTCATGTGTTTTCCTTATGTTTGATGTTTTATCTCTGAGAACCTCTTGATTATGTCTGACTGAGACTAAGTGCGTGACTTAGTGTCATCAAAGAAGCCGGAATTTTGGAGTATTTTGACCTCTAACCTCTCTGATAATTAGTATCTATCTATCTACTGTCGAGTTTGTTAAAACCCCGCCCGGTTTGACAATTTATTTACAAACCGGACGGTTTTAACGGTTCAACACCGGTTCAAATATGCAAACAATCTAATATCATAACCGGGTTGGTTTAGGGTCCGTTTTACCGGGTTGATCCACCAGTCCGGTTCTGATAACACTGTTTGGTAGGGTCTGCAGTCACCATAACAGACCTTTGTAGGATTTCTTTGGTACTTGCCTCAGAAGTAAAAAGATAGCAACAAAAACCTGTAAGCTCGTGTGCTTGCCTTGTGTTTGATATTTTGTCTCTGAGAACCTCTTTAGTCTGTGTTTGCCGAGACCAAGTGTGTGATTAGTGCCATCATGGAGACAAAAATCTGAGTGATTTTAATCCCTATGACCTGTCATAATGTATTTCAATGAGGAAACAGACTTCCCAATTGTAGCGGGAGGAGCATGATTCAATTGAGACTCTCTAGCTATTTTGAAATTTTCTTGTGGTCACCAATTAGCTTGTGAGTGGTGGCAAAACAAGACTTATGTAGGTAACACTAAGTGGTTGGCAGAAGTAGCTGGGGGAAGACTTAGGTGCATTGAGTTGGGTTTGGCTGAGATTTTAGCTTGAGTGATATTTTCTGTTGGAAAATGCTATTTATACCTAGATTAGGAACGTAATTCACCACAGTTGTTGAGTGGGAAGTTGGTCCCATCTGACTCTGGGATTCACATCTGATCTAATGGTTGCAATAAATTAAGTCCATTAATCTGGTCCCCAAATTAGGTCCAATCAGTATTGCTCTTTTCTGTTGGGTTTAAGTCTTGGTTTGGGCAAGGGTGCATGTGTATAACTTCTCAAAAAACGCTTCCATAGCAGTTGCTTTTGTTGAAATCCTGCAACAAACTTTAGCCATGTGCTGGTCAATTGTAAAATCGTCTTGAGATTTTTAATTTTTCCTAGTTTTCTGCCTTGGAGTTATTTGTGCTATTGAAACATTCATTGATCTCATCTTTTGTTTTATTACATAACTTAATGTTTCTAGTATGCCACTGCAGTTATCCATCCTTTCCCGATGTTCTTCCATGTTAAGCATGTGTAGTTCCTTGTTACCTTAGTAATTTTATCTGAGTTTCTGATCTTACGCGACTTGTAGGTTTCTTTCTTTTGAGTGGTTGTGGCAAACTGATTATCTTTATGAATGCACTAGTGTCTAAAGCAGTACAGTAATTGAAACAACAACATATTTTAAAACATGGTTATTGATCTGTTTTTTCAGTCTATTACTCTATGACCATTAATATGTAATATCTAAATTGTAGAATGGCCAAGATGTGGGAATCCATGTGCATACATCACGACAACCAACTGAAGATCGTCACAGACCTCAAATCTCTTGATGTTTCAGGAGCTCCCAAGGAAACCAGCAAACATCACTATGAGCGCACTGTCCAGCTTTGGAACGTTGTTCAAGAATGGCATTTGCAATTTGAGAAGCTTGTGACTAATCAGAAACAATACATCCAAGCCCTTAATAGCTGGTTGAAGTTAAATCTCGTCCCCATTGAGAGCAGCTTGAAAGAGAAAGTGTCGTCACCGCCAAGAATCCAGAATCCCCTGATTCAACCCCTCCTCCATTCCTGGCATGACCATCTGCAGAAGCTTCCTGATGAGCTAGCCAAAAGTGCAACTTCCTCCTTTGCTGCTGTGATAAAGACCATCATTGTTCATCAAGAGGAAGAAATGAAGCTGAAGGAAAAATGTGAAGAAACCAGGAAAGAGTTCTTGCGTAAGAGCCAGGCATTTGAGGATTGGTATCAGAAGTACATTCAACGTAGAACTCCACTTGATGAAACAGATCCCGATAGAGTTGCAGAAGCTAATCCCAAAGACCCCATTTTGGAGAGGCGGATTGTGGTGGAGAGCTTGAAGAAGAGGTTAGAAGAGGAAATTGAAGCTCACCAAAAGCACTGTGTTCAGGTGAGAGAGAAGTCATTGGGCACTCTCAAAATTCGGCTGCCTGAGCTCTTCCGTGCTATGTCAGACTACTCGCATTCTTGCTTGGATGCTTATAAAAGTTTGAGACTAGTCACACAATCACAGAACCCCAACGGTGGTCGTTCATGATGATCTCTAAGCTCAGTTATCAGGTAATTTTTGTTGTCACTTAGTATGGACTTAATGAGTTGTGTGTGGTATATGGTTTTTGTGTGTTGTCTGTCACTTGTCACTGTGTTCTAGCATTTTAGCATCAGCAATCTTTTTTCGCTCCTTCTTGAATGCTCTTATATCCCATAAGATGCCTTCATCACAATCCGTGGCCTCGAAGGCCTTTGTTAGGACGGGAAAATTAGTTGATGATGCAGCAGACTTTAGTCTCCTTCTTGGTTTGAATACAAGGTATTGTGAAGATTGTGGGATCAGTCTTGAGTCCTGATGTTCTTTCCATGTCCTCTATGTCTTGAGCCTGGTGGCCCACCATCATGTGGAGCCTCATGGGCAGCCCATTAGCCTGACCGATAGAGCCATGAAGGAAATTCGCCAACATGTCTTCACTTGGTAACAACACAAAATAAACCCTGTTTTAAGACCGATTAGTATCTCGTTGAAGGCCCATTAGAACTGGTAAAATAGATCAGTCATGGTTTTCCTTTCTTCGAACGGGCTGGTCCGACCTGATTACTGTTTACCCGGGCAAGCATGGCTCGGTTCAACTCAATGCCAACCCTTAATATCTGGGTTGATCAAAATATCGGACCAAAAATATGCATAAAATGATGTGCCGTTTGTCCTATTTTTCGGTTAATTTAGAATTTCCCAAGTTAATATGCTTTAAATGCTTAAGGTCTCTTATTTTTTTTTTTTTCCACCTGACAAGGTAAACAATTGTCGCTTCGATTTGTCAAAAAAAAAAAAAAATGGAGGTGATTTTATAATATATCTACATAGCTAAATGAGGTTGCCAATGCAGATTTGTGGAAGTCAATTATCTTGGAGATGAAAGTATTAAATTTCATACTAAAAATATTCAAATTTACAAATATATTCAAATTAGGTAAGTAAATCTCTAATATAAAACAAGACAAATTTTAATAAGTCTTTCTGACGGTTTCAAATAGTCTTATTCAATAACTATTAACATATTTTTTAAAATCATTTACATTATACAGTGTTTTAAGGCATGGATTATCCTTAATATCCTATAAATCATATTTTGGTGGGGTGCACCTAGGCAAGGCAACGTTCGAGAGCCCAAATAGCAAGCTACTGTGATAGTGTGATGGACTTTGTCAAGAGAATTAGTTAGTATTTAATTTCATGCGAGACAATGGCTCATATCACTTGTAGGAATGATATAACGCTAATACATGTCATGCACGGCCAAGGAAGCAACGGGTTTTAAATCTCATTGTAAGTTTGGTCCAGTCGAAGGTTTTGTCTTCTTGAGATCAAGGGTTCAAGTTTTTTTTTTTTTTTCTTCCCCTTCCCCAAAAAATTTTTAAAAAAAAAAAAGGTGCGGGAAAGAAGCAAAACCAAGCCAAGTCATTAGGAGAGTAAGCTCTTTCCATGAATAAATGATCACACATTAAACTTGTATGATCTAAGTCAAAAGATGTTTCAACAAAAGTTTCATCTCCGGTTTTATCTGCACTTTGCAGGCCATTCCTTTTATCTTGGCCTCAACGTAGGATTACAAAGAATTTTGAATTCTAATTTTTGAGTTTTATTTGAGTTATTTTAAAAAATTTCATTGTTATAGGTTTACACAATTCTAAGCCTTGAAAAAAGAAAGTCAATCTTATGACCCATCCATAATTGTAAAAAGAGTGTAAGCTACCTTGGAGTTCTGAATATGCGGAATATGAGGGTCGTCACTCAACGGGTAAATTTATTCTAGAGATAACAAGTTGATCTTTCGACTTGAGAATATTCTAGGGATAACAAGTTGATCGGTTTTTGATGATATTTTTTTCATTTATATACTTCTTAAAAGGAGATTGTGGATTGTCAAATAAGATATACATAGAAGGTAGATGAGAGAAAGTACTCGATGAACGATAATTGAATATTGTAACATTTTTTTATGAAGACAATATTAGACTATTATATTTTTTTTTTAGCAGGATTCGGCGAAAGCATCAATCTAGTGCAAAATGATTATCTTATTGAAATCGAAAAGTCAACTTTTTGGGTGCATTATTAACCTACAACCTCTATTGTCCATAGCTATATAAAAAAACAAAAAGTGATTGTTTTTCTAACATTCCCTCAAACTCCCTATAGGCCTAGATGGGTCCTGGCCTGCAACTTTTCATATTTTCAAAAGGTTTGTTCATAGGGTATGCATACATGTTGAGTTTTTTTTTTTAATAACACTATTATCCTCAACATTTAGTAGAATGTTAAAAGATTTATAAACTATATATTTCTTTTAAATTGAATTTTCTGAAAATGTTTAGGTGATAGTACACCAATCAAACTAATATCTTATTCTCTATTCGTGAACCTCGTGACATACAATTATATTTGAATTTATAACAAACATTCCTCTCAATTTTCTTCATTCTTAAGCGATGTTAATAGTATTACAATCTTGATAATAATTCCTTAAAATAGTGTACATTTTACCACTAGGTTGAAACACCAGTTACAAGTCTACAATTTGAAGGAAAAAAAAGGGGGGGGGGGGTGGTTTGAGTTAAATCCAAATTAGAAGGTATCTGGTTTGATTTCTAGGAACATGGTTCAAAGTTGCGGTATCGGCCATCAATTTAGAAAGTTTTGAGACACATCGGTCGCGGTATTGCAGCGCGGTATTGGACGATATGATTTAGAAGAAAATGTTGAACATGATGAAAAATTCAGGACATATCACGATGTCGTGGAACCAAATTAGTCAATTTGGTGATAATATGTCAGTGGCTCGGAATTGACTCGGATGCAACTCGGACTACTCGACATAGTTATGCGAGACTCGGCTGAGTTGTGCGAGTCGCGGAGTTTATACATATCGTGTAACGATATTATCTCCCGAGACAGATACGACTCGGATCGGTATCGGCCGATATGTTGAACCATGCCTAGGATGGACTTTAAAAATAATGTCTTTTAATCCAAAATTTACCTATAAAACTACAAAGCTACAAGATATAATAGTCAACAACACTAAAGTTCAATTATTAAGGCCACAAGCCGACACCTACCCACTAAACCCGTCACCCAAATCATTCTTTCCCACCCCCAAAAAAAACACACAATAGTGGAGTTTATAGTTTATTGTCTTTATTTATTGATCTAATACATTGTAGTCACTAACTATTGATTGGTAACGGGTCACAACCAATAGTGGAGTTTATAGTTAGGATTTGGATTTGTTTGAATTTGTAGGTCTGTGTGTTTTTCACACGGCTCTCATTGTGCTGCCACAGGCGCAAGATCAACAATCGGGCGTGGCTCCAAAGGCGTCGTCGCAAGCACCAGCAACGACAGAAATTTCCTCCTCCATTCTCCATACGAATTTAGACTACAATTTTTTGGGATTGTAGATTGGGGGAAAGAGCATTTCCAATATCCGAAAATAATTAGGTCAATAAATTAAATTCAAATGTCATTTCTCTTAAAATCATTAGCTTTTGCTTTTGATCTTTTGTTTATTGTTGATACTCTTTTTATTTTATATGTTTATTCTTTAGAACTTTCTTTCTTAATGAAATACACTAGTAGCCAGCACTGCAGCTACCAAGTCTTTCGGCGGGCTATGACGCTTTTATTTTATTCTGCTTTGAACTTTCAACGGCTGTGATGGCTTCAGCCGCTGAGCCTTTACCCAGTCGAAAATTTTGCCAATTTTGATCAACTTCATCTCAATGATGTCTGGGTTAAAATTGAAATGGTAATCCAAGAGATAGTTCGAGCGGTAACAAGAATGAGCTGTAAATTTAGACGTTCTGAATTCAAATGTTTGCAACTCCTTAGAACCAGGTCGTGAGAGATTTATCTCTCATGAATACTTTATTCTCAGCACAGATGATCTATCTTTAAACAGATCAGGAAGGAGATTAGTCGAGATGTGCGTAAGTCGGTCCAAACACTCCTAATCGTTAAATCAAAAGAAAAATAGAAATTGTGGCATCATCGTGGGATTTTCGTTGGTTGCTTCAATGATTGCCAAGTCTTAACAAACTAATATGAAAATATTTTGAATATAACTTAAATTTCAATTAGTTCGAATCAAAAACTAATCAATTGATCAAACTTATTTAATAAAATGGTTGATAGAAAATAGACCGTATATGATAATAATTTAATTTTATCTAACTTATATAAACTACGAACCACTACTAAACGAATTACAATAGCACACAACTATACAAATTACAATAGCACACAACTATGAATAGGTTGAATATGTACTAATTTACCCCATCTTTTGCCTTCAAATCTGTTGGGATAAGACTAATTTTAATGCTAAATATAGCATATTCCCTCAAAGAATTTTTGATAAGATATCTTGGTACATTTTCTTCTGTCTATTTGGGCCAAGCCTAACTGCCTATAAAACAAAGCCAAGCTTAGTCCCTTCACAAATTCCTCCTCACAATCCTTACACAGATCAAATGCTTCTTCAGGTGTAGTAATTTTCCTCCTGTGCTGCAAATGGACATCAGAAATTGGCACAAATCTCGAAGCAAAAGCGTCCGATTCGGCCAAAAATTCTTTTGGAGAGAGTATGAATCAAACCCAAGGTGGCTAATTTTTTGGAGGAAGAACAGAGGGGCGAAGAAGAAAAATTCCAGTTCTTCTGTCCCAATGCCTCGAGCTTCATATGACCCAAACACTTACCTGCAGAATTTCAACGAAGGATCGATTTTCACAGAGCCTGATTATCTCTCTAGGTCTTTCTCAGCTCGTTATGCTGATCCATCATGGAGATTTCTTAAGGATGAGGAGGTGTACATGGATCGATGTTGAGAATTATCATTGTAACGACTCACGAGAGATAAGCGATAAACCGTCTTACTCTGTTTTAGAAAGGTTGATTTTGCCAGATGTTGAGAAATGTGGGTGATCTTTTCTTATGAATTGAGTGATGATGTTCATATGTAGACTTGGCAAGAAATATTAAA